TGTGTGTGTGTGTGTGTGTGTGTGTGTGTGTATGTATGTATGTATTTTTAAAATAGTTCCAGATTGGGTACTACTAAAACTTCCTTTTAAAAAAGAAAAAAAAATGTTTTAATCATTCAAAATCTGCCTTTTCACACAAGAGAAATAAAATCTATTACAAACGTGAATAGTCAATCCAAACAAATTTACACATTGACCATATCCCAAAAATGTTTGTCTGATTCCACATTCTGCATTCGCCTCTCTATCAGGATGTAGGTAGTATGTTTTATTATTAGTCTTCTGAAATCATGTTTGATTATTATGCTGATAAGAGTTCATTATAATAGTATTCCTTCACATTTTTATACTATTACTTGTTCATCAGATCTCCAATTTATGGGCAACCTGTAAGATTTTCATTATTTCCCACCTCAAAAAGAGCTGTAAATATTTTTAAACATTCTTAGTTTTTCTTAGAACTAATCCCTCAGGGGCAGCTAGGTGGCGCAGTAGATAAAGCTTCGGCCTTGGAGTCAGGAGGACCTGAGTTCCAATGCACTTCAGACATTTGAAACTTACTAGCTGTGTGACCCTAGGCAAGTCACTTAACCCTGATTGCCTTACAGGGAAAAAAAAAAAAAGAAAGACTAATCCCTCCCTTAATCTAGTTTTCCTTTAATTCTCTCTCCCTGCTTCTTCCCTTTGCTTTGTATTTCTCTGTGGAATGAAATTTATTTTTGTGCCCAATTACATGTGTGTATTCCTTCCTTTTTTTCAAACAGTTCAGATGAGAGTAAGGATCAAGTGTCTACCACACCCCTCACCCCCTCCTCCTTTTTTGTATAGATGACTGTCTTTGTACACTGATTATATAAGGATAATTTTCTCTAACCTTCCTTTCCTAACCTCCTCTTTGCCCCAACCCCCTGCACCAGTGTATTCCTTTTTCCCCTGCTTTTCATTCTTTTCTTAAGATCATTAAGAAATAACAGAATCACTGCCAGGCCTACATGAATTGCCTCTATGACCCCTGATAATGATAGGGTTCTGAGGGAACACATATATCATTTTCCTATATTTGAATGTAAGCAGTTTATCCTTGTTCAGTCCTTTATCATTATTCATTTGTGTTTCATGTCTACCTTTTTCTGTTTCTCTTTGTTCCATTGTTTAAACTTAAAAGTTTCTCTGCTGCTCTGGTATTTTTCATCAGGATTTCTTGGAAGTCCTCTCTATCAATAAAGGTCCATTTTCTCCCTTCTTTATTGCAGTTATCCCTTCTACATCATGGAGGCTGGGGATGCAATGCCCCTATGATCTAGAAAATCCATGTAAAATTTTTTGGCCCTCCCTTCATACCACAGAAGAAGTCTGAATTTTTTCTTTTATGGGGTGTTTACAGTACCTCGTTGTAAAATATGGGTTGCTGTTATACAATACTATACATATATTTTTTGCATTTCTGAGTTTCTAAACTTTTTCTGTGTTGTCTGCTAGCCTTCATGTGTTGTCTGCAGCTTCTGCAAAACTCCCAGAATATTCCCATTTAATTTCTTATGCTTACCAATGATATATCCAAACTGTGATGGGGATAGTCACGATGTGGAAGGGATAACCAGCTACTCAGTTTTGCTGGCTAAGTTCTTCTTGGCTGTAAACCCATATCCTTTGCCTTCTGAAATACAGTCTTCTAAGTTCTCCTCTTCTTTAGTGGTGGCTGCAAAATATTGTATGATCTTGATGGTAGCTCTTCTGTTCTCGAATTCTTTCTGTTTGCAGTATTTTTTCTTTGACCTTTTGAATTTTATCTGTGATTTTCTTAGGGGTTTTCATTTGGGAATTTCTTTTAGGAGGTGACTAGTGGATTCTTTCTGTTTCCATTTTGCGCTCTGTTTCTAAGATACGTAAGCAGTTTTGTTTTTAAAGATTTCTTGAAACAGGATGTCTCAGTTCTTTTTTTTTGTTCATGATATTCATATAGTCAAATGATTCTTAATTTTTTTATCTCCTTAATCTGCTTTTTAATTCAGTTATGTTTGCTTTGAGATACCTTACATTTTCTTCTATTTTTTTCATTCTTTTTATTTTGTATTAATATTTCATATTGTCTCATGAAGTCTTTGTCTTCTATTTAGTTCATTCTAATTTTCATGGAATTTGGTGCTTGGGTAAGGTTTTGTACCTCTTGTACTAAGCTCTTAATTCACATTCCAATTCTCTCCTCCATATCTTTCATTTCTTTTCTAGTTTTTTCTTTAAGTGCTCTCATTTCATTTATAAAAACATTCTTTCAGCTTTTTAAAAACTCTTTAATAATCACTTTCAAGAATTCTAATTGAGTTTGCGCCCAAACTGTGTTTTTCCCTGAGGCTTTGCTTGTAGAGGTTTTGAAGTCATTTTCTTCTAGGTGTGTGTCTTGATTATCCCTGCCACCATAATAGTTCTTTATGGGAGGATTCTTTTTTTTTTTTGTCTATTCTTTCAGCTTACTTCGTGGCTATCAGATTTAATATCAGGGTTAGACCCTGGCACTTCTGAAGGAAAGGCCAGTGCTGTTCCTGTAGTTGCATTCTTGGGTTATTGAGTGTTGGGTTATTCCAGAATTTTAGGGACAGGCTGGAGGCTTGCAAGCTTTCAGTGCTCCCAAAGTTTGTGTGATCAAGGGCAAAGTCTGATTGCTGCCCTCCACCTCTTGCCCCTTCCCCCCCCCCCCCCCCCTTTGAGCTCTGTTAGCTCATGACCTGCATCTGAACAAGAGTATACTGCTGCTGGATTCAGCCTCTGTCAGTCAACTGAAAAAACTCTATTGGAACAGAATGGCAAAATTGTAGGCTCTCTTTTAATTTGGAATTCCTGCCTTATTATTCTTATGCAGTCTGGGCTACATATTAGAAATAAGGATCAGCTCTGCCCCAGGTGGGATCCACACTGCTTGCTTCTTAGCCTTCTCCTTTCATAGTACACCACCTAGGGCCTCCCTACCCAAAAATGCTTATATCCCTTTGTGCAGATCCTTTCTCAGTACTCTCTGAATCTGTGACCCAGAACTGGGTAGTGGGTGAAAAAGTCACTAGTTCACACTTGTCTCTGTTGCAGTACCCTGGTATGGGTCTGTGACCTCCTCTTGCCCTGGTGCGCAGCCTTTCCCTGGGTACCAGAATGCTCCGTGTGCTGTGTGTTGCTGGCTTGACCCCATCCCCAATGTCTGCAGACTTCCCTGTCTGTCTCCCTGTGTTGAGCTGGGCTGCATAAATGAATTACTGTGACTTTTTCTGGACTTCCCCATCAGAATTCTGTCTGCTGTGTTTTTTAGATCTGTTTAGAGTATTGTGGAAGGGAGCTCACTATACTGCTTTCCTAACATTCCACCCTCTTGACTTTGCAAAACTTTCTAAGGTCATCTATTTGCTCTTTTATAGGTCTAGCTTGGTCCATGATCTTTCCTGGACTGGGAACAATTGGCTATATTCACTGTCTCTGCTACCAAAGATATGATAGAAGAACATGATTGAATCCCTTGATATCATCCTCAAAGATTTAGAGACATACCCTCAAAACATCCTAGGTTCTTCTTAGTATCCTATTATGTGTCTGTTATCTGTGAATTCAGCTGAACCTTTTAAAAATTTTACATTTAAAATTTTTCACTACTTCTTGTAGTAATTGGTTCCATAAATTTATGCCTAGTTTGTGAACTGTATCCTTTTTTTTTTGTCCTAAACTTCTCTCCAGGCTTCAGAGAATTACCATTTATTTCAGGTTTTTTGAACAAGATTGTAGTTACCTTATCCATATTGTTCATAATTTTTTATGCTTAAATGGAAAAGTACTGAATCATTGTAGTCCAGCCTCATATAGTAGTACCATTATTCACTCAGTCATTTGGTTTTTGTTTTCTAATTCTAGCTTTCTTGAGATGTTGAGATTGGACTGTAGTTTTACATAAGAAAAAGTTAATTTTTTCAATTTTGTTTCCAGTACCCTTTTGGAGAGGCAGTATGCCAGCAGTAGATAGAAGGCCAGCATTGGAGTCAAGAAAATCTCAGTTCAATTCCTTCCTCTGGCACAAACTAGCTGAATGACCATGGGCTAGTCCCTTAACCTCCCAGAGCCCTAGGCAACTCTCTAAAATTATAAGTTAAAGATGATCATTAGTGGAGGGAGTTTCCACATGGATTACTTCCTATACAGATGAAATCACAGGTTCAGAAAAACAAGATATTAAGTATCACCCAAAAGAGTTTTTGTTTCTGACAAGATAAAAATTTTTTGGCCTATGCAATTAGTTGGGAAACGGTCTACAGTGTCTCCTGGATCCCTTTCTTGGATTACAACTGATACCTGAAGTTCCATTATTCTGACTTTAATTTGAATTATTTTTAGCTATGTGAAAATATTTGTACTTGCTCCTCATAAATTTTATTTACCATTTTTCTAAACATTCACACAGCCTCAAAAGCTTTTCCTACATCTTATCTTCATTTTTTGGTGGCATTTGAAATGTTAAAAGAACCCAGTATCATTTGTAGACAGGACTAGACTTACGTCTAGGTAGAGTAGGTGGCCTTCAGTGTGGTCTGGGTTCAGGTACACCATATCTTTTAAAGTATTGATCTCTCAGTAGTTGGAATGTCTCTAATAGATTTCCTGATAAAAATATATTGCAGAACCCATTCAGCTTGATTGCAACCACCTTTTAATCCCTGAGTATAGCTTTTATGTAATGATCATAAAGTTGTTCTACTGATTGACTCTCTAGCTCTCTTTGATGCCTTAAAAACCATTAATAAGTTCTTTAGAGTTCTTTGTAGGGTACTTATCCTATATTTTTAGTTTGCCAAATTTCTGTGTAACAAGTTGTTATATAGCAGATTAGCAGTTGAACCTAAAAACTATATGACACTGTAGGTATACTGCCTCCAAACGTTGTAATTTTAACTGTTAAACACAGTGTTGGTATGGGTTGGCAAGGCTCATATCGATTACATTAGAGTTTTAAAACTTGTTCAGCTTATTACTGTAGTTCCTGGTTCTTCACCCTTGCTATCCTAGTCACTGGCTTTTTAAGACATGTAAATGGGGCTTTCCTTAAGGTAATATTATCAACCCTTCTTTCTCCTCTCTGTACATTCTTTCCTTGGGCAGTATTTTGCCCGATTCAACAAGCATTTCTAAGTAAGATGATTCCCACAATTTTATGGCTAGTGTCCTGCCTTTTCTATCAAGTTTTAGGACTATATACTATAGAATATTGCAGTAGCTTCATGAGTGGTTTTTCACTTCTTCAGTCCATCTTGCATGGCTCACCTAGTTTAAACTCTTTGAAGGAAAGTTATGATCATGTTATTTCCCTTCTCCAGGGACATACAATGTCTTGCCATTGCCTACAAAATAAAACCCAAACTCCTCAGTCTGGTATCTAAGGTAGTCCATGATCTAGCCCAATCTTCAGTTTCCAGTCTTGCCACCTACTACTTTCCTGCACTATAGCACAACCAAACAACTCTGTTCAAATTCTCTCCTTCCTTCAAGAGTTTGCTCAAATACAACCTCTTCAGTCTGACATTCAAATGTTATCTCTTAGCTCTGTGACCCTGGGCAATAGCTATGTGACCCTGGGCAAGTCACTTAACCCCGATTGCCTCACCAAAAACCAAAAAAATAGATAGATAAATAAATGTTATGTTTTCTTATGAATCCCTGTAGCACTTGATACTGCTCTTAATGGTACCTAATTGTTTTCTTCAATGTATTATTATTATTATCATTATTATTATTATTATTATCATCATTTGGGTACTTGTCATATCTCCCCTACTAAATTATAAATACTTTGAAGAGATTGTCTTGTTCACCTTTGTATCTCTCTTGGTACCTTGTTAAATGGTAGAGGCAGAAAAGATACTGAATGAATGCATGCATGCATGAATAAATAATAAGTATCAGGAACATTTACCTGTATATATGGAAAGATGAGGTACAATTTATTGTCCTAAGCCTGAAATGCAGTCATTTATATTAATTAATTTTTGTATATGATCTATCTTTATTAGACCATAAAATTTTACCCCTCTCCTTTGTCTAGCAGGAAACCCGAAATTATCCAGAAACATATCCTCAGCTGCCAAGAGATGAAACAGTTGAAAACCCTCATCTTCAGAAGCACATTTTGGAGCTAGCGTCCATCCTAGATGTGCGAAACGTGTTCTTTGAGAATACTATAGATGACTATTAATTGAACTCTTGTTGAAACTGTGTTTCATTAGCCACAGATTTTAAATGGTGCAGTTTTTTAATGTGATGATACATAGTGGCATTAAATTTTTATTTTTAAATTTAGGACCACCATTTTACAGACAACTCAAAATAATATTCTTCTGACAGATAGGGTAACTTTTGTAATCCAATCTTTGCGATCTTTTAAAAGCTAGAATAACCCTGAAAGTTTTTGTTGTTATTGTTGTTGTTGTTATTTAGGGGTTGAAGAGTCCCAGTTCCAACAACTGGTCCTAAATTCAAACACATACTCAGTGACCACTCTCACCCAGAGAAGAATAAATCATTTATTTTTGTATGATGAGAAAAATCCAACAGTGATATTTTATCCTGAAAAGTCTGGATTTGGAAAAATATAGAATTATTCACAAAGATGAACCCAATCAACTTAGACCAATACTAAGAAAAACAAAAGCATAGCCCTTCCATAACACTTGTTTTCACTCAATATCATTATTTAAAGAGGGAAAAAAAAGGCTGATTCTTTGAGTTTGTATGAATTTGGCTCCTTTAATCATTCACTTTCTTTAAATATTTTCAGATTTTTAGATTTCTGTACATGATTTGCTGCTGAGTTTGAATTTTTCTTGAAAATTTGAGGTGATACCTGACAGTGTATTAGAGTTATATGTATCTTTTTCTGTCATCACGTGTATGTATGTCTTATTTTCTAGCTCTTTCTCATATTGCCAATCATTTGAGAACCATGTCTAAAATACTTCAATCTGAATAACAAGCCCTCTCTAGCAAAATGTCATGCTTATTGGCTCCATAGTACATTGACATCAGCAGAAAAATGTGAATTTAAACTCTTTAACTAACAGGACCAAATTTGTAAACTGAATTTTTATCTGTGATATCTCTAGCCACAAGGGTGCAAATGGAAAAAGATTGAAGTTTTAATCATGTCTGTGCCCTGCTCTGAATCTGTATGGCTTCAAATATAAGGCTGTCATTACTTTTGGAGATAGGGAAGAAGGGAGAAAAACCAGATGAGGGAAAACTAATGTTTGGTATATATGGGATCTTTCGTATCCACACACACACACGCTTTTTTTGGGGGGGGGAGGTTGTTAAAGAGAATTTGATTTTCTTCTGTTGTACTGTTTATTTTTCTATTGGCACCAGCAAAGAATCAACTTTTTTTCCCTCATAGGGATAGAATGGAGCTATCCTATTGTATTCTTTTGATTGTACTCTATTCTAAGTCTACAAGTATATGACAGAAAATCTATCAGCCAAAATGCCTATTAACATCATTATCTGGATAGACCTAGTGCTGTCTCCCTCAGCCTAGAAAGAAACAAATCAAGTGATTATTTTTGTTACTTATGCCCTAAAGGAAAATTTACTTTGGTCTCATTCACCTTGTTTAGAGCCATGCCATAGTTTGTTTGTGTTAATCTGTTTTAGATTCCTCAGATAGAAATTATAATTTGCTGGTTTTTTCTTTGAAATATTGAAGGATTAGGTAATAGTTATGAAACCTTAGCATTTTAAAATGTGCAAAGATGAATTATTTTGAAGAAAGAATTCAGTGTTTAGTGGATCCTTTTTCCTTCTCAGACAATGATGACTTTTTTCAGTAACTGATTCCATTTTGTAATGCTTTTCGCCTGGCACTGTGAACTTAGAAACAGGATGGCATTGGTTCCTTGAACTCAATTCAGTGATTTTTAAAAAACAAACCAGCTTTTGAGACACAGATATCCTTAACACATTTCCCATATTGGCAGGGTTTGAAAGGCAGCCTACCCAGAGCAGTATTCTGTCTGTGGTGTGTATATGACGAACACTAGACTCGGAGCCAGGAGCCTGGACTGCCAGGGCCAGGCCTTTGGTTAACTTTGAAGCAAATCATAAAATCTGATTTGGAGCTCAAGAGTCATCTAGACCAACCCACACCTGAAAAAGAATTTACTCTACAATTTCCCCAACAAGTAGTGATCTGATTTTCACTTGAAGACCTCTGGTAACACTGAGCCAACTACCTCCTGAGGCAACTCATCCTGCTTTTGAACTGCCCTTATTATTAGAAAGTATTCCTTTCTATGAAGCCTAAATCTGTCTCTACAATTTCCATTTAATGCTCCTAGTTATGCCCTGTAAAGTTGGCCGGAACAAAACTAAACCCTTGAAGACTGGCCATCAGGTTCCCCCAAGAAGTCTCTTCTCCAAGCTAGATGTCACTCAGATCTTCGTCTAGCATGCTCTAACATCCTCTCCCCATGCCAGTCACCCTCCTTTAGCTGTACTCCAGTTTGTCAATATCCTGCATAAAATGTGGTGCCCAAACTCAAAACATGCACTCTGCCAAGGCAGAGTACATCATTCTGCACACTGTGCTGCTTTCAATGCACTCCAAAGATTGCAACATTTTTTTTTTTTTGGTTGCCATGATTGACTCACATTGAGCTTTTTCAGTCACTTCTCCCAGGCCTTAGTTTTTTTCTTTTTTAAAATGGAGTTGTATTAGGTGCTCCCTGAGGTCTCTTCCAGCACTGTAATTCTAAGACATTAGTTCCTCGTTTCAAAAGAGAGTGATTTTCTGAGGAAGTATTTGTGATTTAAATCCATACATACTACCTTTCATGCTCCAGAAGCAGTTCAAGCCCCAGTTGTGTTAGAAATCTCCAACCAGGGTCAATAACCAAGCAATAAGAACTGCTTTATCTTGGCATGTTTGTTCTAACAAAGACTGATGCACAATTTTGCTCCTTGGGTTAAGGTATACTTTTTTTCTTTGTAGCAGTTGTGTTTTCTCTTGGTAATAGTTAATCTCTAAATGGATCTTGAGAGGAATCGTGAAAAGAATGGAAACATACTAAAAACTACTAAATCAGGGCTCCACAAAGCAAATTTCAAGCACAATAGTTTTATTACTACTAATTTTCATAATAATTATAGTAATAATGACATTTGTATGGTATTTTCAATTAATTGGTAATCCCATTTTATTCTCTTAACTCTGAGGCAAATAAGATATGTATTATTCCTGTTTTCCAAGTAAAGAAACTGGACCCTGGAGTCTTTGATGCTCATCTAAAATCACAAACATGGTTAGTGATAGAGCTAGGTCCAAAGCCTAGGACATGCTTACTATCACCCCAGCATTTTTCCCACTAGACCACACACTCCTACAGTGTCTTTCTGAAAAGTTTTTTTTTTTTTTAGCAGTTTTTAGCTGTGGCATTTGCTTTAGAATGTATGAGGGGTTTTTTTTGTCCAATTGCACAAAACATTGTCTTATTCAAAAACAGTTGTGTGAAATTGAGAAACTGAAGACTCAGCACACATGTGCGATTTTGTTTTTTTTTTTTACTTAGGATTAAAATGACATACTTAAAATTGCATGGATTATTTTTAGCAGAGCTAAATTCCTTCTTGAAGTGTGTTTCCTAAAAGGAAGGGGGTACTCCCAAGAACTTGAAGTTAAAAATTGAAAAAGCACAGCACATTTGACCTTTCTGTACCTTCCATAAGTTTTATGAAACTGAAAAATTTAAAGACTGTAGTTGTAAAATACCATGCAGTCCTGAGTCCCAACCACTTTCTCTGTCACAGGATTCATTCATTTCTCATTTTCTTCTTATGTTTTTATTCCCTGAAATAGATTAGAATTATACTGTATTTGTGTTGCACTAATGGAAGGAACACACCTGGTTTGGAGTGGGTCCTGTGGATAGATCAGTAATTGAACTTTCTCAGCCAGTTCCTTCCTGGCATACATCTGTCCCTACGAGTTATGCCTTGCTTACTATGAGTTAGTTATTTTCTGTCTAGTTGATTGCCCTTAGAGAGTGGATTAAATTGTGTTGACAGTTCCTCGTGGGAGAACTGGCACCAAAGTTGCATGCAGCCAACACTGATCAGAATGAGATGTGTTCCATTAAATTCAACAGAAATTTATAAACATTTACTCTGTGTAGCCCAACTCAGTTCCAGGATTTGAAAGCATAATGAGTGCAGGACAGTGATAGCTGGAGATGCATGGCACTTCTCTGGAGTTGGTTCCTGCCATTGCTCCAACAACAGATTTAGGGTGAACCTAAGTTACTTTGACTTTGATAGGAATGATACTAGGGCTTTCCTATTAGTTGGTTATGGCATGTTGAGTGTATTTGTATGTGTGTATGTGTGTGTGTGCATTCACGTGTTGGGAAAGTAAGCAGTATCTTTTTGAGGGACTGTGGTTCTATGGTTGCCTTTATTTATTTTAAGATCCTTTTTCTTGTAATGGTATATACGTATATATATTTTTGTGATGCTTGATGCAATCTTGTGTGTGTACATGTATGTATATGTGTATATATTTGTAAATACATTGGTATGAAATGACACAGTATGTGTATATTATATACAACATGGCTATTGTGGCATGAATTTATTTCGTTCATTGAGGACATCAGAGTGGCATCATCCATGCTGTTCTCATATAGGCTGTGGCTGTATCCCTTTCAAGAGCCTCTATTTTGAGGGGCTTGTGTTTGGGTCAATAATTTGGGAATTAAAATTAGAACCTGACAATCTCAGCAAGAAAGCCAGTCTTTCACAGTTTGGAAATCATCAGAAATTCTCATTTAAGTTGTTGATAAATTTGTGAAATAAACCTATGGAGACTGGGTATATGAAATGAAGATTCATTTCTTAAATGGAGGCACTTGCTGGTACTGTATTAGTCTCTTATTTCTTGATCTGGTGTAGGGTATCACTTTGCACTTAGTAGGTTACCCATTAGAGACTAATTATGGGAGTGTGGATGACATGTGATTTTATCATAAACCGAGATGAATAGATGAATATGAAAGGTCACCTGTCTTTTAAAAAAGAAAAAATTATTTCCCAACTGCACTGAAACCTGATAGTGGATTTAATTTTTTCTTCATTCCTGTGGTTTGTTTTTTACCTGTGTGTGTCTTTGTGAGGCAGGGAAAAGGGCATTTGCTATCTTCAGGCTTCTGCTCTCCTTGAGGGAGCCCTAGAAAAAAGTACTTAAGGTAGGTGAGCTGCAATTTCACCAGGCTACTTGTTCTGAAGCAGTGTGTTTGTTGGGCATACCCATCTTGGCATTTTTCATTGTAAATCCTTCTGATTAGAGCAAAAATAGCAATTGAGTACCAATTTTAAGTTGGTATTAGGGGTGTTTAGGTGAAACCATGCTAGTCTCCAATGATAACAAAGAATCAGTGTAAAAGTTAGTTTCTCTATGAAGGTGTTTGTACCTTCATTTGGATGACAAACCGAGAGTTGAAACAGGGTCCCCCGAGTGTTAAGTGTGTAGTATTCTATATACTGCTCTTGATAACTAGCAGGAACTGAAGAGGAAAAGAATAAGACTCCAGCAAGAATAATGAATAGCTTTGTGAGCTTATACTCATTTTAGGCCTTGGAATACAGTTGGACTTGCAGTGTTGAGTTATTTGGAATATACCACCATCTTTAGATAGCACGCATATTTGCATGGAATAGTTCAAGAGATGCTCAATATTTGTTTTGCATTTGGGGTGCTTTCACTGCAGAAATTAAACTAATACTTTTTGCAAAATAAAACATCAATCAACCCTCTTTTCTTGATTGAGATAAAATTTGTTTCCCAAGTTGTCGTCCTTGATTTTTTTGCTGTACTGACAGAACAGTTCAAAATTTTGTAACATTTTCAGTTATAGAATACAATTGAAAGTGAAGATTCAAATACTTAGCAGTTTTTCTTAAAGGAATTTTAGAATTTGACATGCCTGCAAATTAGTGCAAGTATCAGTAGTGTTTAATTCACATTTTTTTTCTGTAAGAAAAAGTAAGTCATTGCAATTGGATACCAAAAGAGTGGGTGTTGTTTTATTTAGCTTCATGAAAATAGTATACCTTCTGTATGGGTTTTAGTTTGAGGACAGTAGCTACAAAAAATACTGGGTAAATAGGCTGGTAATTTCAATTGTGATATATTTCTTGGCCCAAAAGTTGGAATATCAGTTCTTATTTTGTGCATTTAGTAGAACACAGATTTGAAATCTATACCCTTCGAAAAACAAGTCTGTCTTTTCTAATTATAGTTTTCTGTACTTTTATAAACTGGTACTTTGTAAATGTAGGTGCTATCTCCCCATTTCCTCCCAAATACTGTGATTTTTGTTTCCTTTTCACCTGCATTTGAGTTAAAAACCTGAAAATCATAATGTCTCCTGGCCTCATTAGGGTTTGTACGCATAAAACTATTGTAGGATGGGGAAGGCTCTGTGTGTGTGTGTGTGTGTGTGTGTGTGCATGCACACGCATGTGCACGTGTGTATGTAAATAAAATCAGTCACCTACTGAGAAGCAACGAAAAGAGTAATAAGAAAAATTATGGGGAAAATATCTTTAGGAAAATAAAAACATTTTAAATTAAGTAGGACTGATTTTCTGCATTATTGAAACATTTTCTTTGAAACTGTATAGATGAAACATGTTTATATGATTTTGATTATTATGATTATTTTCATTTTTAAATTGTTGTATAATACTGAATTTATTAGTGTTTCCATTTCTACTTGACAATGTTACCTGAACACTTGATTGAAATATCATTTTAAAATTTCATATATCTTTTTTTTGTTATTTTATCAGTTTAATAAGCAGTGACATTTTTAAAATACAAGATGTTTGCATAGTAGGTTCTGTTTTTCCTATAGATATATTACATCATGTCTGTTGTAAAAGCCAGATACAGTTCCTTAAAACTATTTTTGATGTGGGGACTAATTTTAAGTTAGGAATTTTGTCTTCATTTACTGGACATGGTTTATATGCTAAGATAGTAACTGGTCTTACACAGAAAGAGTAAAAGACATTGGGGATTTCTGGGTCCAAGCTCATGAATGCAAATTTATAATTAGGCCCCTTACAATACTATACCATTTTTTTTTTTAGTGGGGAGAGGCAATTGGGGTTAAGTGATTTGCCCAGGTTCATACAGCTAGTAAATGATGGAGGCTACATTTGAACTCAGGTCCTCCTAACTCAAGGGCCATTCCTCCATCCATTGCACCACCTTCCTGCCCCGTATTATACCATTTTCAAAGTGAGATTGTAGAGAATTTGTGAAGAAACATTTTAGGCATTGTTCCTGGAAGTTAGATCTTAAACTGTTAGTTTTTTTTTCACCATACTATTTTCCATTTGCTTTTATGGCTATTCTGAATCTTCTTCCCCAGTGTTTGAAAACTTAAGGAATGCCAATGCTATATTCTATATATTTTATACCTTCCTAAGTATACTGATATAACAGGCCAGCATTTAAAAATGCATGTTGATAACCCCAGAAGAGATAATTCTGAATAGAAAAGACCATTTTGTTAAAATAAATAAATTTACCCAATTGTCCTCCACCTTTTCTTCCTTAAGAGCATATTAAAGGAATTGCAAAAAGCTGTTTTAGGGAGAGATAATGGAAGCAATATCTAAGACTAGGATAGCAAGAAAGTAGGATTTTTCTTTTTTCTTTTTCCTGATTCCAAAAGCTTTATGCTTTTAACTATTTATTATATTGTCATTATGTAGAATTGCTTATTTATGCCTCTAATGTAATATTTTAGAACTTTGTTTTCCCCATAGCTTTTTATACTGACCTGAATGTATTCTTTATAGAGTCACTTAGATTCTCATGCCTGGTTCCCTGGGTGCTTTCTGTTTCCATTGAACTTGCCATATAGCAATAATCCATTTTGAAGAGAAAGAATATTTACATCTCTACCTGTAATATTTTGAGATTTACGAAGCACTTTCCTCACAGCAACTCTATGAAATAAGTAAGGGAGTTATTAAACCCATTTTACATATGAGGAAACAGGATCAGAAATTTTGAAAATTGTTAGAATTGAGTTAGAAAGACCTTAAGTAATGGAGACATAGACTCTGAAAACATTTTGCTCTTTTTTTTTTTCACCATTTATTTCACCATTTTAGGAGCTCCCTTTCTCTCTCAGTGCAGATGACCATCTGCTTTGCAGTTTATAGTCTTAAAGAGTTGCCTGCAGCAATGAAAGGTTAACAGCTGGCCCACGGTTACTCAAAATATAAGAGACAGGTCTTGAACCCAAGTGCTTCTCACTCTGAGTCTAGCTCTTATCCACCTTGCCAGGCCTTTCCCTGAATCTGTTTTCATTGCAGAAATAACAAGTGAAGCAAGTTATCACACGGTACTTGGGTTATCTATCTACCTTCATCTTGGTGATTGGGCCTAATCAATTGTTTAGGACCTAATGTTTTAAGGAATCAGGACTAGCTTAAACTATTGATTATGGTAAATTCAGGCACTGTTAATTGTCATCCCTTATATTTGCATAGTACTTTATGATTTTCAAACTACTTTCCCATACATTATCCCATCTGAACCTCACAACAACCCTGTTGAGGTAAGTAGGGCAAATATCCATATTTTTGAGGTAAAGAAACAAGTTCAGAGATAATGTGGCTTTGTCTAAGATCACAAATGTAGTAAGTGACAGAACAAGGGACTTGAACACTGCTCAATGTTCTTTATAGTACACCAGAGTCTATGGGGAATAATTGAGTGAGATTTTACCTCATTCATGTAAAACTGTCATTAAAGCTCAAGATAGCCATGTGATGACTAAAAATATAGATGCATCTGTTTTTCATGGAAATTATTGTGAACCTTTTTTGCATACTGTGGTTGTTAAGCAGTAATACACTTTTTTGTTTATATACATAAAATTATTATATTTGGAAATCGTAATAACTTGATTTCCTAGTGATATAAATGACTTTTTTTTTTACTGTGGCAAATACTTGTCTATAACTGAAATGTTACTGAATTGTGAAACAAGTTATAAGGATTATACACCTGTATATCTTTTAGGAGCTCTCCAGAAGAGACTGAAGCACAAAAATTTTACATGTTTCAATCCTTTTCTAAGTGCTGCAAGTCTGTAGTGCATATGATGTAACTGTAAGTGTAAGAATCTACTTAGCATTCACAGTCTCTGTAATCTTTGATACATTGTCTTGTTTGCCCATTTGTGTTAAAACTTAAGGGATTATGCATTTTAAAAAAATGACTTGAAAATCAAGCCCATCAATTTAGTCCTATCAGGTGGCAGTTATCTGGATACATTCATTTCACACTGTGTTGTCAGTAGATTCAATTTTGGGGAATATTTGCTACCAGTAACTAAGAAAATGTTGCTTTGTCAGTACCAGTTCATACATTTGACATGAAAATCTGATAGCTTACATTTGTGATATTGTATAGGCCTTGTCTGTTGATGCATCTCAGTTGCTTAAGCCATACTCTTAACAAATGTTTCCAGTTGTTTCATCCCATCAGATAAACTTTTCCAGCTCTTGAGTCTGTTGCTATTGCTATCTCGTAGTCTAAGCTTCACTCCTTTCACCATTGTACTTCAGTAAATGAAATCAAAAGTAAAACACTGTGATTCTGCAGAGCTAATGGCAGCAGGACCATGTCTTTCCTGGATTTTGTTCTTTTGAAAAGCTCCTGACTATCGCATTCAGGGTGCTTGAAAAAAGCTAAGTATCATACTGTTTATATTGCATTGAATAACAAGATTATGGAGGGTTTGATTTTTGCTGTCAGTGTACTAAAGCTATTTTCTCATTGATAAATGTTCTCTAGGAATGTGACTACCTTCATCATTTGTGAACTATTATTGTACATGAATTTTGTATCTGGAATCCACATGTATATTATGTGTACTATCAATATAAAAATAAACATATTTGCTTAAAGTGTTGGTCCTTGGTCAGTTCTGAGCTTCTCACTTAATCCAAATTTTTGAAGAGATCTGTAATTTCATTTCCAGTAGGTACTCCCTCTTCTGAGAGATCCACCCACCCAACCATTCACATTAATACATGGTTTCAGAAATTTCTATGGCAAAAAAAAAAATCATTCCTTGGTGGCCAGACTTTTCTTAAAGATAACCTTAACATTTAGCTAGCTGGTGCCTGGTGCCATGACAACAGAAAAAGCATCTTTTGCTAGACTGACATCTAAAACCTTTCTAGTTTAACATGTTTTGAGCTTGCATTCTGTGGATGTAGCCTTCAAGAACCCAGAGTTATACATAGTTTAGCTGTCACCCTAACTCCGCTCCCCTTTCCCCATAAAATAAAATAATAAAAGAGAGACTTTGAGGGGCAGTGGCTAGAGAGCTGACCTTAGACTCAGAAGCTTCAAGTCTCCCCACATATTGGCTGTATGTCCCTAGATAAATCACTTAACCTTTTGTTCATTGCCTCAGGCAACACTATCAAATTCTAAGTTGGAACCAACCTACCTGTCTGCATCTAGGGAGGGAGTTGGTTGTCTAAGATAAGTTTGCTAAAGAGGTACTGATCTGAATTGGTAGAAGGAATTCCCTCAGCCAATGACTGGATACCCTCTTTCTCCCCACATGATAAACATGAAATGGCATAAATATCGTTATAAACACTATGGGATCCAATGAGCTTTGCCTATTGAAATACATCTCCAAAGCTTGCTGGACCCAGTTTACTTCCCCCAGTCTCAGAAAGTTGTGATACTATTCTTGACTCACTTTGGCTCTCTCCTTTGCCCCATCATCTACCTGGCATCATAATCCTCCATGTTGTATGGAGGCTAGATAGGCAGTGGATAGAATGTTGGACTTGGAGTGAGGAAGATGAGTTAAAATCCTGCCTCTGGCACTTAGTAGTTGCATGACCTTGGGCAAGGTCATGCATGACTTTAACCTCTCTCAGCCTCAATTTCCTTATTTGTAAAATGGGGATCATAGTAGCACCTACTTCACAGAGGTGCATCAAAGGAAATAGCATATGTAAAATGCTTTGCAAACCTCATAGTGCCATATAATTTTTTTTTATATATCTCAGATTAAAAACTTCTTGAAGGTAGAATCTTTTGCTTTCTATCTTTGCTTCTAAAGTGCTGAACACTTGGATATGGTTGGATATAGTTCATACTTAGTAAATTGGATATAGTTCATACTTAGTAAATATTGAGTTCATTGTTCTCTGTACACTCATAGGGAGACAAACGTGGAACTCATTCACACTAATTGAGTTTTGTTTATGCCAAGAGCTCAGCTTACCACCTCAGACAGGCCTTAGAGTAGAACAGTTTGGCTGTAACTATGAGGAATGGGGCGAATAGTATTTATAAATTTTATTGATATCTTAACATTTTTATTTTTATCTTTTGTTTTTATATCACCTTCACTTGTGAAGAATTTCTTCTTCCCTCCCCTACCCAAGGAAACATTCTTTGTAATAAAGCATTAAAAAAAAGAAAAAATTCAGCAAAACTACCCAGCACATCAGCAGACTCTGACATAGCCGTTCTCCTACCCCTCTGCAAAGGAGGGAGGACAGTGCATTTTCTCTGGTGAGTTGGGTTGGTAAGTTGGGTTATTATAAGTTGCATAATACTAGAGGTTTTTGTTGTTCTTTCTGTTAACAGTGGTCATTCATAGTTCTCCTGGTTCTGCTTGCTTCACCGATTCAATTTATATTTCCCTGCGTGAATTCTTCAAATTCATTGTTTCTGTTTGATTGCAATACATTTCATCGATATATTTTGACCTCACTTTTCATTTTCAAAATTATTTCTCTCAGACACCTAACCAGAGACCCACCCTTGCCCATAGGAAATAAGAGGAAAGAAGCAGTTCTACAAAACCAACACATCAATTGAGTTTAGTGATTCTTTTTGTGCCATTTCCAAGTGTTTTCTCGAATGATCAGACCAATGCGTTCCTCTGCAAGCGTGTGGGAGCGCCAGGCCCTAGTTTTCCCAACTATTATCCCATTTTACACATGGGAAAACTGAGGTCCAGCGCCAGATCTCGGCGTTCAAAGTCCAGCGCTCTCTGCACAGGAAACGCGCCCTTTTCTTCCCTCCGAGGCCCGTCACTGGGAACACCCGGTAACGTCCACCGAGTTCCAATCCGCTGACGTGGCCCCGCCAGCCCGCCTGCGCACGCGCCTGGTCGCCGAGCTGGGAGCGTTCGCGTTTAACAGTCCTCGCCAGGCTCGCGCCGAGGTCTAGTCCCACTCCACTCAAGCCAGAAAAAAAAGTGGCGAGGGGAAAATAAAAGAACTGGGTTAGCTGCTTGGCGGGTTGCGGCGCATGCGCACAGCCATCGCGGCGCTCCTGGGCCGTCACAGTCACTTCCGGCGCCGCCTGCTGCGCTTCCGGGTCCGGGGCTGCCGTCTCCTCGGAGGTGCTGCTGACGCCTCCGTCGGGGCGCTGGGGACTGGGTTCCGGAAGTTGCCGCAGCCGCCACCCCCCTCCTCTCCTCCTGGGAGACAGGAGCTTGGGCCGAGTCGGTGCGAGCCACAGGTGCGCGGGCCCGGAGCAGGAGCCCCGGGTCAGTCCGGGCGTCCGCGGCAAGCGGGCGGGCTGAGGGATCCCCCCGAGAGGACCCCGAGCTGCGCACCGGGAGCCCTCCGGAGCCGCCCCGGTTCCCGGCCCCCCGCCCCGTCCCTGCATCGTGCTGGGAGCCCGAGGGGGGTGGTCTGTCCGCGGGTCTAGAAGGAGGTCCCTCCTGGGAACCAGGAGGATTACATTGCAGCCCCGGCCCCGCCGCTGCCTCTTGGTGTCACCCCGGGCAAGTCACTTCCTTTCCGCGGGCCTCAAGTCTCCCAGTCTGTTAAATGGTGGGGGCGGGGTGGGCTTGGTGGTATGGAGGGCCTGTCAGGCTCTCGCCATTCTGCAGGAGGCCGAGCTTGTTTGTCCTGGAGTGATCCCTGCTCATTCCTAAACTCTCGAGACAGTGGGTTGTACTGAAAATAGTTCTGGGTCTGCTGTCAGAAAACCTGGCCCGAGTTCCAGATTCTGCCTCTGTCAGTTGGGCAGATCCCTTCTTCCCTCCTTGCACAATGGGAAGATCGGATTAGATTGGTAGGAGGTCTCTTCCAGCCCTAATTTGTTAATTTAGGTGGTAAGGCCCCTTGATAGAGGATGAATGAACACGGAGAGCCGTCCCGGATTGCAAATGTCAGCAGTTCTTTCCCACTTGGGGTGCTCCTGTATAGACTTTAGGCTTCATTAAATTTAGGGTTGCATTTCTCAGAGGCATTCTAAATGTGAGCCTGGGAGAGAATGGCGGACCAGCATCAAGCCCCGTAATTAGCTTGTTACATGACCTTTGTGACTTGTCAGAACAAACTAGGAAGTACGTCCTGGCCAGTGGATTCTACCTTATTTCATTTTTGTGCTTTTCTTTTTGTAATCCTGTCCCTTTTCTTCTTCTTCAAAGTTGGGAAGTAGAATCAGGAACTGACGACAGTGTAGTATAGTAAAAAGAACACTGGGTTTCAAATCCTAAGATTTAGCATTGAGTCCTGAATCTTCTGCTTACTAGCTGTGTGGCTTTGGCCATATATTCTCCTGGGGCTCAGTTTATCTTTAAAATGAGGATGTCGGGCTCAAGGAATCTTCCCAGCCCTAAGTTCTATGATCCTATGGAAAATAAAGTTAATATTCTTTGATCAGCTAACAAAAGCACTAGGCAGGTTAGACTATTGTACAAAAATGTGAAATGGGATAGTACAATATGTTGTGTTTCTATGTATGCTTCCTCTAAGTTAAAATTGGTAGAGGAAACATCAAGTGTATTTTGTGTTTGCCTTCTTCACACAGGACAGAATGCAGTAGCAAGAAAGCTGATTTTAAGTCTGGTAGATATCAGGTGAGTGGGTGATTCAAAAATAGTTGAAGATGAAATAGATTGTAGAATTTTGCCAAATTGCACAAGTGCAAGTGAATAGTGGGTGGTAAGAAAGATCATCTTCATATTTGTGTCACGTTCTCAGAACAAAGTTTGGCAATAATAATCCTTCACACACAAGACAGGTGATGATTAGAACTCAGTATTGATGTTCTGCAGACTAGTGGGAGGGAAGAAATCTAAATCTGAGGTGTTGTATGAATATGTTATTTCTGCCACAGGAATGAAAAGTGTAGTTCGGGGTAATCTTTATCAGATTACTTAAGGAAAAAAAATCATATGATTGATAGCATTCATTGAAAATGTATATGGAGTTCTGATGCCTGAATCATATTTCTTACCTGCTTACCTCTGGGATACCAGCTTTGAATGAAGGGACATCTAATTAAAAACTATCCAGAGCTTCTATATATGCCTCAAATCATTGCTTAGCTCTCTATTCCTTGCCTTCACCACTGAAGTAGTTAAATTACAGATGGCTGTCTAGGTCAACTTGTTATCTTTAGTTTTATATCTTGAATAATTTGAATAAATGATAAATGTATTACAGCTTTTTTGGTTACCTAAGTAGTTTCATTATATTTGTTAATTTCATGTTGTTAACTGTATTCTTTTAATTATCTATCTAAAACCTGAAGTTCAAACATACCCCCAACTCCCTCACACTCTCCAAAAAAGATGTCCACAGCTCAGAACTCTCTCTCTTTTGCTTTGTATAGATAACTGTGATGTCTTGAACCCTTGGAGGGTTTTGGAAGTTCATCAGGTTTAAATGGAAATTTTGGCAGCTGGAGCTTCTTGATGGCCCTTCAGTGATTTGCCAGTAGATTCTAGGGCATCATTGCTTTGGTTTAGTTCGGGTTTTGGGGGAGAAGTCAGAAAGGGTATCCCTACTGTGGAAAATGTTTGCCAGACTTAAAAAGAAGATTGCAGAGGAGGCTGCCATTGCACCACGGCCAGGAGGAGCTACACGAATCCCAAGGTCTATCAGCAAGGAGTCAGTTGCTTCTGTGGGGGCTGACTCAGGAGATGACTTTGTAAGTAGCTCTTCTTTCTTTTCGTTATTTAGCATGACTGATGGGTATGGCCTTGTAGATGTTTTTCTTAATGCCTTAGAGGATTGTTTTGATGTTTTCTTTTGCTCTGTATATACTTTTGTTTGATTTAGTAATTTTAGCCATGTAAACAATTTAAGTCTCACTCTTACTCTTCTTATTCAGGAATTTTTCTCTTAGTTTTGAGTAGATCACCCTCTTTTAGGTTTAATGTTAGGAAAAACTTCCTAACAGGACCAAAAAAATGGAATGGGCTGTCTTGGGAGGTAATGGGAGCCTCTTCACAAAAGGTCATAAATAAATGATTGGATGTCCACTTGTTCAGAATGGTTTAGAGGGGATTTTGGTCTGTTACGGTTTGGACTAAATGACTTCTGAGGCCTATCCCAATTCTGAGATTCCCTATGTTCTCTGTATTCCTCTTAGACTTTGAAAAATGTGTGCCCCTGGCTATTATTTCCTCAGGTGTATTCATTTTGAATGTCAGTTATTTTTTATGAATACTGGGCGTTAAGGTATGAGAGAGACTAGATGTATTAACTATTTGTCTGTTTACCCTGCATTCTTCCTCATTGAATTGTTAAGCTTATCAGTTGTGATTTTAGTGGAGAAGGTGGAATGGGCATGTTTCTTTAGTCTTAAAACTAATTTGTAATTTAAAACACTGAAAAAGTAAGAAGTCAGTGCATTTAAGGAAATGATATTCTTGTGGATTATAGAGTTCCTTTGTTGAGTGACTGAAGCAGTCTTTCAAGTCAGATGACTCTTTCCATTTTTATGCCATCTGGATCCTGGCTTGAATTACAAGGCAGTGGTTGTTATTGTACATCAGAGGTATACATCAACAGGCTTCTAGACTTGAGTTTGCAGTGGCTACCAGGTATAACAGGAAATACAAGTACACATGTGCATCAGGCAGGAGAATATAGAGTTACCAGTACTAATGCTCTGGCACGAGACCTTTTTTCCTTAATGCTAGATTGCAGCAAGAGCAGTCTTTTCTAATAAATCAAGGCTGAGTTTTATAACAAAAATCCATATACTTAGAAACAGTACTTGGGGAAATATCTGTCTTTGGGGCTTTTAACTTCATATATTTGCCCTATTAATTATACATCCAAAATGAATTATTCACTAACAACAATAAAGTTCCCCATACCTCTCCCTAATGTGTTAAAACAGTCTGAGTTTTTGGGTAAGGTTAACTCAGCTTCAAGAATTTTTGCCAATATCATTGGTGTTTTCTTAGTTGTAGATCTAGTCTTTTCTCCTTATTTAAAGTAAATAAAGTAATTCTTGTGTCACCATATTTCTTTTAGGATTGGATGCTTTGGAAGAGGATATTAAGAAGTAATTTACTTTTAGGATTTTTGCTGTGAACATATTTTATACCTTATATAAATATTTTGATTCTTGTCATTTTAATTTAAGATCTTGAGTTAGGTCACTTCATTTTCTTGGCTTCATGTTACTCACCTGTTAAATGTGAGAAAGCTAAAACTAGATCTCAGGGCTCTTGTTTATCACTAACATTCTATTAGTCTGTGAGTTTACAATGGATTTCTTCTAAGCAATCTGTATTCTAAGAGTCACGTATCTTATGAGACCTTCTGAAAGAGACATTCAAGCTCAAACCCTTTATCCACAAACCCTTTCTAAGATCTGTGAAGTAGATGAACATAGGTAGTGTTATTTCCGTTTTACAGGCAGAAAAACAGAGAAGCCAAGGGACTTTGCTAAGGTCACATAGTTAATAGCATAGTCCTGCCTTAAGTAGATGTGTCTGAACTTCTGGTTCAGCATTTACTTCTCAAAATTACTTTAAAATTATTCCTCATTTGACTCTCCAGAAATGTTTGAACAGTATTTTTCAGAAATTATTTACAGTTTTTTTTTTTTACAACTTGACAGGCTTCAGATGGTAGCAGTTCTCGAGAAGACCTTTCATCCCAGCTATTTAGAAGAAATGAACAGATAAGAAAACTAGAGGCCAAACTTTCTGGTAAGTTCATTAACTTGTAACAAAGTAAACATAGCATCCTTGTGTCTTAAAAAGGCAAAAAATTTAAACTGTGTCATAATTTGGATTATATCTGAATTAGAGTCTTTATAGGGCTTAGTTTATCAGGCACATTATCAATTTTCTAAATGAAAACGGAGACACTTTGAAAACAGATCGTTCTCTCAGGGCAGATTATTTTAATCATACAAAAAGTCCTATCTTCTTCTTGTGATCTCATAGGTGTGGGGATGCTCCTAGTGCAGAAACTCCCTTCCACTGATGCATATTGACAACTCATCTGTAAATTATAGTCTTAGAGCTGCCTAGGTCTCCAAGAGGTTAAATGACTTGCCCAGGGTCACACAGCTAGTATGAGAAGGAGAAAGGTTATGAATCCAGGTTTTCCTGACTCAGAGGGTGGCCTTCTACCTGCTAAGCCACACTGGGCTTCTAAATGCATGCAATAGAGTGTGAACTTTTGTCTGAGGACTTAGGAAGGGAGCACATTCACAGTCTTATCATTATTCTGCGTTGTAGTACTTACATTGGAATAGCTGAAGGCAAGAAACATTTAAAGCAAAACTGATTTTGAGTTCAGGCCTGGGCATGGACTATGTGTTAGTCCTTTGATGAGGACCAACCCAGATGAGTGCCAAGAAGCTAATCATCAAATGTTGCCACCTGGGGATGAACTTTTTGGGCCAGAACAGTTTATGAAATCCTCTCATAAGACTTGGAGGAATTACAATATGTGTTGGAAGTAGCATCCAGATCAGTAAAATCAAAGATCGTTGAAGTAAGATGCAGCTTTAATGAAATCTGTACAGTGATGTTTATGTACCAACACTGATTTTCATAAACTAAGTAAGCAAATTCTTTCACATTTTTGTTTTTTATTAGAGCTGTGAAAGTTAGTTTTCTTTTCCTAAGCAATTGAGCTTAGACAGATAGTTTCTATTATTCAGGTACTATAGAGAACCCTGTAGAGGTCATGTACCATCTGAACTGCATGTATATGTAGTTGTTCTTTTATGTGAGTGGGGGTAGTCTGGAGACATACTTTTTGTAGCTCTTTCTGTATTTCTGTAACTTTCTGACTAGAAAGGAAATAATTGATATCCTTGCACTCTATTAACTCTAAATTCACTACTGTGGCTTGAGTTTTTTTTTTTCCTTAGGTTAAGGCAAGAATTACTTAGTATACATTTTAAAGATTGAAAAGCTAAGTCAACCTTTACTGGTTACAGTGGCTCATGGTCATGGAAATATATGGCATTATAATGTTCATGTAGAACAAATATGCCATTTTGCCCAAGATAACTCCAAGAAGAGGCAATAATAATGAAGGCAGTATGGAAGCAAAAGGAATGATAAACCTTCTGAACAAGAAAGGAAAAGACATCTTTGAAATGTACCTGGGTATTCCTTAACAAAAAGTTTGGAATCAAGGTATGATTCCCTGCTAACAGGGAATATTTTCGTGTAGCGTTGATGACTTTATGCAACTTTGTAACACATTTCCATCTTTAGTTTCCATTGGTATTTTTCTTACTCTAACACTTGTCTCCAGACAATAGCTATTATTAACATGTTTGAAAGTTGAGTTTTTTCAGTACTCCTTTTACTTTCTCAGTCCAGTAAGGTACAATTTCTTCTTAGTGAATAGAGTGTCTTATACTGTTATAACTGCACACTCATGCTATTAAAAGACTTTACTTCTTTGGACACTCTAGGAATATCTTTTTTAGCTTGTATTTTTTGTGCTTTCAGTCTTATGGCATTCACCTAATACCCTTTTTATTAGGATTACAGTGGTAAACTCTGGGATTCACTAATAGGTTTGCAATGAATTTATTTATCTCATTGTTACTAAGGCTGTCTTCCACTAAAGACTTCCTATTATAAACTTTATCTTGAGATAGAGGTGGTCAACCCTCGATTGTGGAAAGCTGTTTCAACAGATCCCAAGCTCTGATGGGTCTAACCAAATTGAAAAGGTCTCAGCGTGGACCCAGCAAAGAAATTATGAATTCGTTGTCAGAAGACTAGCCTAACTGAGGGTAAAAGGACTCAACACTTTGAGTTTTGACGTGTGTGATGACTATTTTTAGCATCTACTAAGGCAGGGGAGAGTTGCCATTTATATTAGTGGAAGAAATACCCACACTGATGAAATCACAAATCATTGAAATATTAAAATAGACCATATTTTATATTTCTTTAAATTCAAAATAATGTTATTCCGTTTCCTTCCTTCTAACTCCCCCCCCCAAAAAAACCTCCAGAAAATTGGAAAGACAAATTAAGTGTTCAGCATAGATTTTATAGGAATAATTTACCCATTGACGTATAGTTAGGTTTTATTGTGGAGGCTGGGAAATGAATAAACTTCCCTGAATTTCTAAGTTTATATTAATTTTTCTCCTTGAATATGGCAAGTGTTGATCAGATTCTACTGAGCCAAGAGCATCATATTCCTGCAGTATTAAGTATTTATGCTCTGAGGTCACACTGGCTTACTGTTAGCTGAGCCAGAATGTTACTGTCATGTAGTTTTGCTCAGCTGTCTTGAAAGACTGTAAAAGTGTGAACTGCAAAGGGGTTATTTAATGAGTTATCAGCTATCCCATTTATATAGCCAAAAAGAGAAATGGGGTCATGAATTTTGAAATCAGTTATTTTAGTAGCAGAGCATGATAATTGGAGCTGGTCCTTGTTCTCTTGAACTAAGTAGGATCTCCTGTTTGCAATCAATATTTTGTACCATAATTAATTTGTTGTAGAACTGTTTGCTTGTATTGCTCATTGTTAAGGAGAAGCGCTCTGCCTAGTTTTCCTTAATTGATTTTCAATTTCAGAAAATCATAATTGTTTTCAACTCATTTTTTAAATTTCCTTTCCTAATATTTGTCCATTCCTGGTCTGTGCATCTCCCTTCCTTACCCAAGAATATGCTGAACAGGTGCGAAACTTGCAGAAGATAAAAGAGAAGCTTGAAATTGCATTAGAAAAACATCAGGATTGTACGTATTCTTTTCCTTTTTGGTTAAGGACTAAGTTTTTTTTAAATATAGTATTCTGGATTTTTTCCCTTTAAAAATTGAAATCTTTGGAAGTAATATAACCAGCAATATAGTTGATATAATATTTGACCACAAATATGTCCTTTTTAGACAAAAAGTGTAATTTACATTTATGTTGAATAGATGGGAATGATTGTTGTCTTCCCTGGGCCAGTTTTCTTGGTATGTTAAAACCTAAAGGTGATTATTAACTTCCCTCAGTTGTCATTCAGTGACAGGAGATTAAGCTCTAGTCTCAGGAGATCTGGCTTTTAGTCTTAGCTCTACTGGAGATCTGCTTTCTAACATAGAAGCCTCTGGTGGTTATAATAGTAATAATAGATTACATTTATGTTAGGTTTTAAGGTTTACAAAATCCCTTACATAATTAATAGAAGGGTCTTGTGAACTAAATAGTATAGGGATTATTATGTCTGATTTTACCAGTGAGGAAACTTTGCCTCAAAGAAGCTAAATATGACTTGCCTAAACAATGACAGAGTCATTATTTGAACCCAGGTCTACACATTCCAAGTCCAAGTAGTACACTACATGGCCTTCTCTCTAACAAAATAATGTAAAATTTGACTAGATTGATGAAAGAGAATATTTTTAAAGTCCTTTGGGCACCATAGGAGAGAGATGCTGAGTATAGTATAGATAATGGTAATGTGTTATCTTAGTGTAATTTATGCTTGATTTAATTACCACCGGTGCCCTCCAGAATAAATACCTACCTACCTGAACATTACTGAGCCTAGGAGATCATGTTTATTAATAATAGTATTAACATAGTCTAATTCAGTTCCAGCTTCCATAATCTTTTTGCGTTGTGCCCACCTTTCTGTAGATGAATGTCTTAAAGTAAGTTCTGGTACAATCTAAGACAGGCCTGAAATATTCTCACTTTTTAAATAAAGGCTCTCTGTTAACAGCTTCCATGAGGAAATTTCAAGAGCAGAATGAAACATATCAAGCCAACAGAGCCAAAATGGCAGAAGGAATGGCTTTGGCATTAGCAAAAAAGGACCAGGTAATGCATACATAGCTGAGGCCCAACCAAAAAATTTATATTTATTTATTTAGTAGTATTACAGAATTATGACAAATGTTTTTATGATAGCTGAGGATAAAAAGAATTGTACTATTGTGCAGATTCTGTGACTTATCTTTGGACTTGGGGTTGGGGAAATAGTAAAAAAAAAACAAAAAAAAAAACCAACCTGATTTTAGTAGTGAAATATGTGCCAGGGTCTAAAAGACCAATGAGATTCTTCTCCAGCTACAGGTTTATGGAGTGGAGGAAGAAAATACTACCCTAGTAGCATCCTCACTTATCTGGAAGTCAGACTTTCATTTATGCTGGTGAGATGAGTATGTTTTTTTTTTTACTCCTAAAACTTGAAAGTAAGCAGTTTATATAGTTTCTATAAAACACAAGCAGTAGATGCCTACAGTTCACTTTTTTAGGAGAAGTCTTTGAGCCATCATTCAATACTTAGTGATTCAGTTTACACAGAATTCTAATGATATCAGTAGACTAGAAAGAACACGAGGCAGACACACTGGCAAAAGGAGTAGTAACCATCAGCTTTGTGGCAGGGAAGGAGGAAAAAAATGCGTTATCATAACATAGGATAGAAATTATGAATTATAATGACAGCTGAGAGCCATTAAAGAAGGATTAAATTATGAGGCTTTTTTTTTTGGATTGAGTTTTTAAGTTTTAGAAAGTGCTTTGCACTTAATTCATCTGATTCTCATAATAGCCTTGTGGGGGGGTGGGAACTACAGGTATTATTATTTCTGTTTTACAAATTAGAATGTTGAAGTTTGAGGGAGGTTAAGAGACTTAATTAGTCATGGCCACACAGTGTACTCTGTTTAAGGAAATAAAGAGGTATGTTCTTCAAGAACAGATTAAAAATGTTAAAGTTGTGGCTATTAAAATGGTCACCTTTAGTCTTCTCAACAGTTTATTTTTGGAATACTGTTTCTGTCAGTGACATCTGAGTAAATAAGTTACAAGTATATTTTAGAGGAGGTTGTATTTTGGAATGAAGTGGGGAGTTTGCAGTCATGGGCCATTGGGACATAATAATAATAATAGTTAACGTTGTTTAAGTTTGCTTCTCTGCAAAAAAAAAAATCTGTTTTTAAGGTGGGTTTGGTTTTTGCTTTTTTAAGTTTGTTTCTCTGAAATAACTAACAAATAGTGCTTTAAGGGTGCAGAGCACTTTACAAATATTATCTCATTTTATCTTCACAACAACCCTGGGAGGTAGGTACTATTATTATCCTCTTTTTAACAGATGAGGAAACTGAGGCAGACAGGTTAAGTGATAGCTAATAGGTGTTGAGGCTGGATTTGAACTCAGATCTTCCTGACTGTACATCTAGCTTTCTGTCCACTGTACCACCTAGCTGCCTCTGTATAATCTTTAATTTCTTAGTGCTCGCATCTGTTTGGCAAAATGGAAAGAGGATGTAAAAATTATGACATCGACATAGCTAATAGGAAAGTGTCTCCAGGATTGATTTAACTTTTTTTCTGATCTCTTTAGTGTGTGAAATGATGATGTGGTTGACTTTCGTTCCTTTGACTTATGATAGATGGGACATTGTATGGGCATACCCCACACAACATTGCTCTAATGCGTTATTGCAATAGCATTACTAGTTATTTAACCAAACCCCACATGTGAATTATGTTATAATGTTGTTACAGCTACTATAATTATTAAAATGCTATTCCAAAAGGGTTAACCACTCTCACTTCCCAGCAATAATGTTTCACCTAATTTCAAGTTTTAGTAAAGCTATTGTTAAGTGAGATATGCCTTTCTAGAATTAAGTGTTAAGACTTTTGCTTTGGTATCAGTAGCTGGTTAAAAATCTGTAGCCTTTGTCCTTTTGCAGACTTTCATAAGTTCATTTTGTTATTTCAGTTAGAACTTGTTTCTTAATATTAAGCCAAGTTAAATGTTTTGTAACAGGATTTTTTTCTCAAAATCTTGGCATTGCTATTCTTTAAAACTATAATAATTTTTGTGGTTTTCTTGTCTTTTTTAGGAATGGGCAGAGAAGTTGGCTCAGCTTGAAAAAGTAAGTTGTGTTTTTATTTTTCTCTGAGTTAGATGTTTATCGCTTAGGATTTACGAAATCTTTTCTTTGGCTTGCAATAAATGAGGCACCATAGCAATGAGTATTATTGGTGGAGCCGCCCCTGTAGGAGGTAAAACTGATTGGAAAATCTCTTTGAATTCTTGTTTTTTGCTAGTTAAAATCATGAATACTTAGAGGAGTAGTCAGAGTGGAGAGTGTTCTGAGGTCTCAACACCAAGTTGCTAAAAAAGAACCTCGCCTGACTGGATAATGTTCAGAAAAGTTGACTGCACCACTAGCCCGTGGCAGGCCCTGAAGTGTCCTCTGCAGGCCTTAAGATGTCTCTTTTTAGCTCTCCAATGGAGACAAGGTTTGCTTTCAAACCTAGGATGGAAAAAACACATTTTTAATTTCAGATAATCAGTAACATCAACTATCCACATGTTCTGCTACTAATCCTTTCTTCATTCTCACTGAACATACCTTTTCTTCATATATAGTGAAGGATTGAAATCTTCACTTACCTTCTAGCATAAGGTAGCCAGGCCTAAAATCCATCCACCACAACTCTTGTTTATCAGAAACTAGGTTTGAATACTACATAATTTGCACATAACATTGAGTTAAGCTAGGGGCTTTCTGAAATTGTTTTCTTCCGTCTTTCCTTGTCAGTAATAGCTCATGCTTTAAAACATTGTTTCCCAAACTAATTCCCAAACACAGAAGAGAGATAGAAGTATGGTGGAATCTACTAATGCTGGCCTTTAGGTCCTAGAATAAAAGACTACCCAGGGAAATTTTAAAGCAAAAGAGAAGACATTAATCCTCAAAGTTCTCCTCTTCCAATTAGTCTTCAGTATTTTCACATACCAAATTTGCCACCCATAATTGTTATTTTTGATAAATGCATAACTTAATTTTTTTAAGTGAGAAAACATCATTACCAACTAATTTTTCTTAATGAATTCCTGTGATGTGGGGTATTGAGGTTTTATGGAACATAGTTGCAAATCACTCGCTCAGTAAAACCACAAATTTTGTTGATGATTGCCCACTTAGGTAAAGAGATTACTTAGGTCAGATATTCTCAAGCTAAAAGAAATGTTGTAAAAGTTGTGGTTTTTAAAGTATTGAAAACCACTGAGTTAAATTAATGAACTAGACTTTATTTTTGTATTCCTAAGGTAGCAGGAGATATGCTCAATAGGATCAGACCTGGGTTGCTTTCATTTGATTCTAAGAAAAATTAACTTTGGGGCTAATTATAGGGCAATGAAAATGCTTGTCTGAGAAGTTTAAACCACTATGAATGTAGGCAATAGTAAATCTTATAGATGATTTTAATATCTTTTTAAATTAGAGATAGAAATAACCTGTACATTTGTGGTCCTTTACGGCAATTCTTGGTCAACAGATTTGGCTTGCTGACACCATTTGCATCTAATTGTTATCAGTTTAGCTAGAGTTCCACTTGAATATATTATAATTTTTAAAGGCATTCAGTCTCGATCTAGTTATTAGTCAACTAGTTCAAGATGTCATTGTGAATGGAGAAGGGAAATGGAACTGATGGTCAAATTTAACTGCCTAAATGCTTCAGATGGTCTTGGTCTTCATCTACCTCTTCACTGGTTATTTTATAAAATTATTTATTAATTGAACATTATTGCTAATTATTAAGTCTTGGTCACAGTTATAATTCTTATCAACATTATCGTTAACATAAAATATTAAAAAGCTGTTAATATTATAGGGCTATTAACATAGAATATTCCTCTAGGGACTTTTCTTTAGGTAAAAATTATTTCTGCAGAAAAAAAAAACCAACCTACTTCCTCTATCTTAATGTCTAGATGGTATCTTGTTCTTTCAAATAGGATAAAAGGCTGTTGGCAGCTCAGTTACAGGAAATGAAGAACCAAAGTTTGAATCTGTTCCAAAAGAGGGATGAAATTGATGAATTAGAGGGATTCCAGCAGCAGGAGCTAGCTAAAGTCAAGCACATGGTAAGCATTTCTATTAAGTACATCTAGTGCTCAGTTAATAAAATGTTTTTGAAGAGATTAAGTTTACCTGATGAAAGTTAAAATAAACACCAATAGTTACACTAGGACATTGCCAGTCAAGTTTTTTTAGTTGGTACATATTCATTTTTGTTCATATACACTGAAAATCTTTCATGGACAGGGAGGTATTTCTGTGTGAAATGCTTGTCTCTTTTGTACAACAATTGATTCACCAAAAGACTATATAAAATTATTGTGCATATATATTATATAATTTCCTTTGGGGCTTATAAGTTTACCTTGCTTAGATTTTTTTTTCTAAAAACATAACTGTTCTTGTGGCCTCTTAGCATCAATCCATGTTTACTCTAAACGTTAACATCTTAATAGCTTTAAAAAATTTAATGATGATTTTTACATGATATCATCTCCCAATAAATTTCCTCAACCCAAAGAACTCTTCATTATAATGAAGAAAAACAATTAATCAAAAATAAAAATAAGTTTATACAACCTTTTGCAGCTATGTTTCCCAACTCTGTACTAAAAACTGGGAAGTGTGTTTTATCACCTGTTCTCTGAGTCCAGAATTGTACATTGCATGTAAATTGAGTTTAGTATTATTTTTGTTGACTTTATTATAGCCATTATGTGTATTCTTTATTTTGCATCTTAAAAGCTTTTGAAAAAGGAAGAAAGTCTGGCAAAAATGGAACTGGAAATGGAAACAAGAACCAGAGAACTGAGTCATGCACAAGAAGAACTGTTGGCATCTAGTCAGGTCTGTTCAGATTTAAGCTGTGAGCTGGAGATGTTGCAGAGGCAGTATTCAGCGCTGGAAGAACAGAGGTTATTGCTTGGTCTTTGGGGTTGATGGGGATTTGTTTTGATGCGGATTTGTTTTGATGCCATTCTGAACTTAGCTGGCCCATGGTCTTTTCCCAGTTTCACCTTGTTCTTTGAGTTCAGTCCATTCCGAAGGGACTGAATTAATTCTATACTTGCAGGTGCCTCATAAATGGGTTGAGCATTTGGTTCTAGGTCTGTTGTGACAGCAAATCTAGTTGAGCCTGGGATCACAGGACAGCTGTAGAATGAGCTCCCTTTTGCCCTGCAGTATAATGGCTTATTTTTTGATCAGTGTTGAGTAAGCATTTGTCTGTGCTCGTGAAGCTAGATCAGAATTTCTCACAACTGCTTAGTTGGGCCCCATCTCTTCTTGTATCCTCTTTTAAGGAAAACAAAGGGAGTAGTTTCTCAGTTAATTGCGTTTCGGATGGGCTTGAGGTTTTTGCATGCAAAACATATTTTAGCTGAGTTATCCAAATGTGTTCATTACATGCTCTGTGTGTTTTCTTTTCCAATTAAGGGATCACTTATTAGCTGCAGAAACAGGTGCAGAAAATAAGATCACTACTTTGGAGCAGAGGGAACAGGAACTACAAATGTTCATTCAGCAGCTTTCTGTTGATTTGCAAAAGGTGAGTTATGGAAGAGAATCTGGCTTTCCCTGATTCATAAAACACAGTATAACAGATTTAATTATTATGTATTCTACTGTACATAAAGTATCGTGCTGGCCATTGGGGAGATATAAAATTCATATGGGGCAATGGGACAAAGTCCTTGCTCTCAAGATGCTTAGAGTTGAATTCAAGGATAGCACATACATTTTTAGGAGTAATGCACACTGTTGCAGGATAAGTTCAGTGGACAGGTGCAAAACCCAATGTTATGTGAAATCTCAAGGGGAATGCTACTTAGAGGAGAGATTAGAGAAAACTTCCTTAGGAGGGACATTTGAGTTGCACTTCAAAGGATGGATAGAAATTCAGTTGTCAGTGAGTTAGAGAGTAAGGCCATTTTTGGAATAGGAAATATCATGGATAAAGGCACAGAGGCAAGAGTGCAGGGCATTGGGGGCGGGGGAAAATGATGGGTTATTCTTATGTCCATTGTGGGCTGTTCCATAGCTAAGGTTGTAGAAGCAGTAAGTTTAAAACTGTAGTTTAGGTGTTTTGTTATATAGTATATGCCTATACCAGCAGTTGGTGAAAAATTCAATGTTTGGTTTTGAATTATAAGAATACCTCATTTATGTTATATGTTAGTGTTTACATAGCATTTTCTTAACAACCCTGTGGGTTAGAGTGTCTTTTTTTTTTCATTGATAGATGAGGATCCTAATGTTCACAATCATATCTAGTGATAAAGTCAGGACTTGAACCGCATTCTCTTGCCTCTAGGCTCATTTTCCTTCCACCACAATGCTTGGAGAGGAAGTGACCATCTAGTTGAGGAATTGAGTTTAGCTTAGTTAAGAGAAAGTGAGGGGAAGTCTAGCATGGTGGTGCTTGTCCTGACAGATTTTCTGAATAATGGATTTTTACCTGTTAGCCATGTCAGTAAAAGGAACATTGCTACCCTTTGACTTGAGCACAGAAAAACTTTCTGATCTTCAGAATTCAAAGTAGTGATAAAGGTACCTCCAGATTTCTATAGAATGATGGATTTTCCAGTCTGATTATTAATCCAGGTGACATGTTTTTCAATAATATAAACTAATAATTGTAATGATAACTTGTTTTTAACAAATCTTTCAGCAACATATGATTTATAGAGTCTGATACCTGGGGAGGAGTGTGGGTTAAGAATCAGGTGAAATATTACTGACTGACCTGAGATATTTGAATTTTGAGAATTAGGAAATTTGCATTCTTATAAACCTTTAAAAATACTTTATAAAAGTGAGTTACTGTAATGATAAATAGATTTATAGAGTAGTTTCAAGGTTTGCAAAAGGTTTTATGTACAACTGTCCTTTAATATTTGTAGGATGAGCATAATTATACCCATTTTAATAATAGTTTTTTGGTCCACACCTATGCTTCTATTGGTCTAGATGAGCACACTTTCTGCTGATACAGTTCTTCAGTTCTGCAGTTTAGATACTTAGAGAGTTGGCAGTCATACTGAGAAGTTTAGTGACTTGCCCAGGGTCACACGGTCAGGATGTGTCAGAGACAAGACTTGAATCCAAGTTGTCTTGACTTAAAGAGTTTCAGCATCAGTTCTCTATCCACTATGCCACCTTAATCTTTTAATGGTAGTAGATACAGTTTTAGCTGTAGTTGTAATTGTCATCATTACTATTGCAGTAGCAAACTCCATAGTTCTTTCTCTGGATGTGGATAGCATTTTCCATCATGAGGCCTTTGGAGATGTCTTAGATCCTTGTGTTGCTGAGAAGGATTAAGTCTATCAATATTAGTCATTGCACAATGTGGCTGTTACTGTGTATAACGGTCTCCTGGTTTTGCTGACTTCACTCAGCATCAGATAGGGGAGATAATTTTGAAGGTAGAAAGAATAAGATTTGGCGATATATTCAAAATGTGAGGTGAGTGTCATTGAATGGTGAAGAATTACACCAAGTTTATGAGCCTGGTAACTGAGAAAATGATGAAGCCCCCAACAGTAATAGGGAAGTTGGATTGAGGGGAGAATTTGGAGAAAAACATAATGATTTCAGGTCTTGACATGTTCAGTTTAAGATGTATTTGGGACATCTAATTGAGATGTAGTCAGTTGTTGATGTGAAACTGAAAGTCAGGAGAAAGGTTAGAGCTAGACAAGTGAATTTGAGAATCGTCTGCGTAGGGGTGATCATTTAATCCATGGAAGCTCATGAGAACACCAGGCAAGGTAATTTAGAGGCATAAGATAGTGTGTAGGGGAAGACTCTTGGGGAGCACCCATGGTTAGGGAGTGTAACCTACTGGAAGATCCAGCAAAGGAGACCAAGCAGAAGTCATCTGACAGGTAGGAAAACCAGGAGAGAGCAGTGTCAAAAAAAACCAGACAGGAGAGAATATGCAGAAGAGAAGATGAACAGTGTCAGAAGTTGCAAAGAGGTCAAGAAGGATGATGACTGAGGTAGCCATTAGATTTGACAATGATGAGATCATTATAAAGAGCAACTCATTGCTCTGGTAATTGTTCAACAAGCTAACAGCTCTTAACATTCATAATGTTTTTTGATTGTTACATAGCCTTTGACTCAGTTCCTCATTCATGGCTTATTTGTATGCTGCCAATTATCAAAAATATACCCCAGTATGGTCAGAATATTAGAGTACCTGAAATTCCCAATGGAAAACTCTCTTTAAAACACCACCAAAGCAGTAGTGTCAAGAATGATTGATATAAAACATGGCATTTTCAAGGGGACCATTTTCTGTATATTCTAAAATCCATTATTATCTCGCTTACATACAACTTCCGGGGCAGCTCGGTGGCACAGTGAATAGAGCTCTGGCCTTGGAGTCAGGAGGACCTGAGTTAAATCCAGCCTCAGACACTTGACACTTACTAGCTGTGTGACCCTGGGCAAATCACTTAACCCTATTGCCTAGTCAAAAAGCAAAAAAAAAAAATTCAACTTCAGTATTCCAAATTCAAGAGTGAATTGAACCAAAACATCTTATTAGTTATTTGAAGCACACTGTAATAGCTCCACTGAGAAAGACATTGGACACTTCCTTCATCTCATAGAATCTTCCTTTACTGCTACAAAGTGTCAGTCGGAAACAATAAGTATAAAATTCTTAATGTACACCAAGGAAAGAGACGGACAGCTTCAAGCTTGAATTTGAATTGAAGCCATTGAATCAATCGATGAAGGTAATATCTACAGATATTTTGGTTTCTTCCAGGCAAGACGCATTAGTAGTAAAGGCTGTAGCTGACTTCGTTAAGACGCTTATTGTCAGCATAAAATTAAAACTGAACAAGAAGAACACATTGAAAGCAATTAATACCTATACAATACCAATTTTAATGATCATTTTCAAAACTTTAAAATGAACAGTAACAGATTTGGAAAGTATCCTAACCAAAATCCATACATTGTTAACAAAATTCAGGGCCTATCATCCTGAGGTACCTATAAAAAGTTAAACACTTTGTCACTAAAAAGGAGGAAGAAAATTAATAGATATTTTGCAAAACAAATGATAAATATGTTAAAAAGAACCTATAGAAATACTTTTGAAATAAGCAGTTGTCAGTAGTAAGCGCATTACAAGCAATCATATAAACTGATAGTAGATACTACCACTGAATTTGTACAGTGTACCTGAAAGTGGTTTTCCTCTGCATGCAGCCTGGAAAATGGCTTAGACTCCAGCCTGGATATGTACTGAGCATGTTTACAGTGAATCTAAGAGGTGGCTTATATCCTAATACTTTTATTCAACTTTAACAAAGAACAGTTATTTTATCCACCTGTCCAGAGTCTGTAGAATGTCAGGTATAAAAGAGAAATAGGAGAATGACTTGATTCTGGACTGTTTCTATCCTATCAACAAAACTAATAAGATGATGATGATGATGATGATGGTGATGATGATAACTCCCAAAATATGAACTGAACACAGGGGGCTGTCACCCCAGGGTAGCCATGAAAAGGTTAACACTTCCTCATCAATAAGGAGGAAAATGAATGAAAGATGTTTTCAGAACAGATGATTAACAGGTAAAAAACTTAACCAAAATGTTTATGGAACTGACATCACTTCAAAGGGTGCTAGTAAGGGCTAGCAATAGGGACTTGCCACTCAGTGGGTCAGATGTATCCAAAAGTTATTCATACCTCCAAATGTGCCTGTGAAACAGCTAAGATCCAAGAGTGAAATCAAAAGGCTCACAATCAGCAACATCCACATGAATTCAGCCAAGAGTATATCAGGAAGCATTTAACAGTTGACTGAGTCTCAAGGATTTGTTTACAGAAAGGGATTTATGATAGTGATGAAAGTACAGGTTTTACCACCAGAAATTACAGAAAGGTTACTCTTTCAGAGTTCACACTGCAACATAATCACTACAACAGGTTGTAAAAATTCATCTCCTACTGATATCTTACAATACCTGGTGGTCAGAGCTTGCATTAGAAGCTCACTCTCCTTCATAAACTAACAGGTGACAAATTCCTGTACTACAAATATAGACCTCAAAATATCCTTGAGAATTCTGGGAGTAAATTGCACTAGAGCTAGAGTATCATGATAAAGGGAGCTTTTGCTCTCAGTTACCCAGACATAATACTGATCCATTAACATTTAAGAACATTTTTAATAGGTGTCTTCATTCCAAATACTCAGTCTCCTAACATGGAATAGAAGTTTTCAATATATAGAAACCTAGTGGAAGAAATCAAAACCATGTTGGAGCAAGATTGAAGTGCTTGTTCTCCCTATCATTCTTCCTAGTGCTAAGATGATCTGACATCTCCGTGCTTATATCCGGTCTTTTTTAAAAAGCTGTTCACCTGCACAATGGTCCATAGAGCCTGAGATATAAAAGATTAGCAGCAACATAATGACCTTTCCCAGGCCCATTTCTATTTGACCTTCATTGAATAAAGATAAGAATGACATCATAATTTTTATACTGATCAGAGCAGATTATTCAAGGAAAT